TAACTGTATAGATTTATTTATCCTTTTATAAATACCATTTCGTAATATAAATAAAAAAGGAAAATGCCAAGCGAAACTTCATAATGTTGTGTACATCAACTCAAAAACTTTAAAAATGAATAAGTAAAATATATTAAAATTAAAGAGTACAAAATACTGCACTGATAGTAACATACTATGAGTAGTTATGATATTAATTTAACATTATGCATACTGTACACATCTGCACCATAAAATAAATACTATACTCTATAAATCGGTATTACGAAATACTGTACTCTATACTGCGGAACCACCTAATACATATATTCAATTTTATACATCTGTATCAAAAATAATGTATACTATACACCTGCATAAAATAATACTGTATTCTATACACCTTTATGTCATTGTACATATATCCCACGAAGAAAGTGATAACACCACTGAAGTCTTCTGCAGGCAATACCATCCATGACACGGGCAAGCAGATGGAGCGCTGGGTGGAATACTACACTGAACTGTACTCCAGAGAGAACCACGTGACCAACGATGCCCTTAATCATCATCAACAACTACAAACTAGAAGTAATCAGTCAGATCACGTACTTTGTATCTACCATCACCAACAACTTCTCACTCGATGCTAAACTCAACAAGCGGATTGGTAAAGGCGTCAACAACTCTCTCTAGCTTGTCGCAGAGAGTGTGGAACAACAGCATGCTGACTCTGAACACTAAGATCTCCGTGTACCGTGCCTGTGTGTTAAGCACACCTGGACACTGTACACCTCTCAGGAGAAAGGACTGAGCGCCTTTCATAAGCGATGTCTCCGATGCATACTCGGTATCACATGGAGCGATCGTGTGATAAACAACGAGGTGCTTGACCGTGCAAAGATTTCCAGCATGGTCACACTCCTCCGCCAACTCCGCATCAGATGGCTGGGCCATATACGTCGGATGGATGACGGACGGATACCCAAAGACCTTCTTTATTCCAAGCTTGCTTCTGGCAGAATTTCGATCGGACGGCTACATCTCCGCTTCAATGATGTCTGAGAGCAGGACATGAAAGCCCTTGAGCTCGATGTCAACACCTGGGAAGAGCTTGCTCTAGACAAGTCTAGTTGGCGACATGCTCTGATCACTGGTCTGAAAGCCGGCGAGGACAAACTACGACTGCTCGCTGATGAAAAACAAACTCAGAAGAAGAGGAAGCAGCTCCAACACAGACCAGACTTAACCTTCAAGTTCAGCAACTGCAGCAAGGATTGCCACTCCCGCGTGAGACTCCAAAGTCACAGAAGACGCTGCGCAACTACCAACCGGGACACTTCTCATGTGCTCATTTCCATCGACTCTCGAGACTAACGGATACCATCACGATTCTATACAACTGTATCACAAAATACTGCATTATATATATATATATATATATATATATATATATATATATATATATATATATATATATATATATATATATATATATATATATATCTTATACTACAGATTGTACTAGGCACATCTGATGCACGCAAATGTATTTTCTAATCTAAATATCTGTATCATTATCATATTGTGTTCTTTACATTTGTATTACATAATAATCCTGTACTTAAAATTATTGCATTTGTATAGGAAATATGAACAAGCTTTTCTTCGGATAGATATACTTCAATATCTTCGGTGTGCAGTATATCAATCCGACAAAAAGAGTTTATATTTTCCCAAACAAATACAGTAAACTTTTATTATATGGTCATTTTCGATAACTACCAAACAAAAACAAATTACAAGAAACAAAGTAACTGAATTTATGCTTTAATACAATATAAATGCCCAAACGCATATCCATCAGTACACAACAACAATATTAATGATCAGATAACTCCGCCCAGCTAAATTTGAACTTAGTCGCGGGCTCTACATCACTTTCGAAAGAAATTGTAGTTTTGGTCTACTTAAAATTGAAAGTTACAGTCATACTGTGAATGAATGCTCATTGTTACTAATTTTCCTTTTGTTTTTGGAATGTATAAATTTGGTATTTTTTGTCGATTCTACTAAAGTTCGTGATTATGGACTGGATTTATCTGTGTCAATTCTACTTGAAGTAACATCTGATTTGAGCAGTTAGGGAGCAGCACTTGATTCATCTGCATGTGTGTTTCTGTTATGTCACTGAACATTTGGAATCATAATGTGGAAAAAAGACTCTTTCAATTGCAATTATCAAAAAGACGCTATGTAACATAATGTTCATTACATTTTGAGTGCAGTGATGAGGATGTTATTGCACTTGGAGTGTAGTCAAAATTACAGTACAATTTCAAAATGTGTAATGAAGCTTTAGAACCCATGACATAGCTCATGTAACTCGGATTTGCAGAACTAAGCAAGTACATTTTGTGGAAACTCAGGATGTAAAACTGTAACTATATTTTTGCCATTCTTATTACCAGCTAAATAAGACACGTTTATGCCATCTCATTTGCATAATCTTTGCAGGTATCCCAGCAATTGTATGACCTGTCAGGAGTCTATTGCTAGCCTAAAACCCGAAACACTGTAGCAAAACTTTAACGCGGAATATTGTAAAGCAACTAGTAAGTGGCTGTCCAAGAAATTGCTGCTTTATTTCATTGATAAATAAATTAGATCTGCCAAAACGTAAAGCGTCTACTTCATGAGTATATATTATTTGTTAACAATGTGGTTCCTAATACACTCTATTACGTGTTGTGCACGTACGTGCAATATGAACTTTTTTTAATATCGTAAATATTGTACGATTCTGACAATGTAGAGCGAACGGAAACGTAAATGAGCACACATTTATCTGCACATGTGGAACACAAGATAAATACTGTACTCTACATATTTTTTTATCACATAATACATACTGTGTTCTGTATATCTGTGTTATAAAAGTAAATACTGTACTGTATATTTCTATATTACATAATGAATACTGTGCTTTACACATGTCTATCATATAATACATCTGTATTACATAATACATACTGTACTCCTTGTATCACAAAATACATACTGTTCTTTAAATCTATGTATCACATAATGCATACTGTATTAACAGACGACGGAAGACGTACAAAACATATCAGTCAAGCTCAGAATATTTCAAGATCAGAAGGTTCATATCGATTTTCAACGAACTTAGTTCCATTTCTATTGAAAAATTCGCTAAACATGTGATTTTTCGATTGATATCATACAAGTGTAAAAGAATCCTATGTATGTATATTTGTAAGTGTAATAAGATCTATTGTATGTAAGTGTAAAAGAATCCTGTGTATGTATGTACGTGTAATAAGATCCAACCTATGTAAGTGTAATATAATCCTGTGTAAGTAAATGTAATAAGACCCAATGCATGTATGTGTAAGTGTATTAAGATCAAATGTATTTGTGTAAGTGTAAAATAATAGTATGTAAGTGTAATAAAATCTAATGTATGTGTGTAACTGTAATAGAATCCTGTGTATGTATGTAAGTGTAATAAACGATAGCGTAAAAGTATAATAGTATCCAGCGCATGTGTGCAAGTGTATTAGAATAAAAAGTACACAAGTGCAATGGGATTACATATACGTGTGTAGTTATAATATTATCCAATGTGTGTAAGTGTAATAGGATTCAATGTATTATGTAAATTTAACCGGAACCAATGTATGCGTGTAAGTGTAATATTATCCAATGTAGTGTGTGTGTATGTGTGTGTAACATGATCCAATGTATGCGTGTAATATTATCCAATGTAGTGTGTGTATGTGTGTGTAACATGATCCAATGTATGCGTGTAAGTGTAATATTATCCAATAGTGTGTGTGTGTGTGTGTGTGTAACATGATCCAAATTGTGCGTGTCAGTGCAATAGGATTCATTGTATTAGGTATAATAGTATAATAGTATACAATGCATGGGCGTAGGTATAATAGTATGCAATGTATGGGTGTTGGTATAATAGGATCCAATGTATGAGTGTAGGTATACTAGGATCCAATGCATGGGTTGTATGAACGAATAAATCTATTAACACACGGACAAAAGGCGAAATCCTCCTCACAAACCAGATGCTAAGCAGAGAACAAGATACTTCTAGATACAGCTTCATCGCAAGTGCAAAGAAGTTTTCGTGTATTCAGCAAATTCAGTGTGATATTAATATAATTAATGACACCTATCATTGGAATTGGAGTCACGTTACACTGTTACCCCATATTCCGTTTTCCCAGTCCCAAATGGCTCATTTTATTTACGTTTATCATAAGTTAATTTTTTATCGAAACAAAACCACGCACGTAGGGTTCATTTGCAGAACACCATGATCAATCCCCTCAGTGTTTAATATTAATGCTGAAGGAAGTTTGAATATTCTGTACATGGATTAGTTTAGTGTCATACCCAAACGAAGATTGAAGGAGCTTAACATTTTTTTTAGCCATAACGAATAGATTATCTAATGTCTTCTAGACACTGCATGAATTTTTAAGTACACAGTGTACATAAATTATGCGCTACAATGTTAAGGTTATTCGGCACAAGGAAAATTATCAAGCAAATGGATACCTATGTGTCACACACACACACACACACACACACACACACACACACACACACACACACACGAAACTATCGCTGAGCTTCTCGGTTGTTGTGAGTTATAACAAAATGTTATGGATTTAAATGATACGGTGCATGGAGGCTTAACAAAAATTGGATTATTCAAATATGCGATGATGGTTGTGGTTGTGCTTGTGATTTGGATTTTTAACGTAGCTTTAACAATTTTTCAGTCATGTCGCTACGATGTCTGCAGTGTGGCAGTTTATAGTAATGTCTAGCAATGGGCATCATGCCGCAGACACGTGGCAAGATGTCCCACCTAGTTACATTATCCTCACACCAGGCCGACCAGTCCTAACACTAACCTCTTAATGCTGAGCTTCAAACGAGGCAGCTGTTAGTACAATTGTTCTAAGTCTTTAGTATGACTCAGCCGGGGATCGAACCCACGACCTCCTGCGTCTGAGGCTGACGCTCTAACCACCATACAAGAATGTTGGTTTTAGAAGTAAGCTATGTGCTTTTCGGACTGATAAAGCATAAACTAAATAAAAAAAATATATAAAAGCTGCTTATGACTAAAATGAACCTACAATCATGTATCTTATAGTGTCTCTTTTTTTAATTAAACAATAAATCAGTAAGATTTTTTTTTAGATCCTTCCTTACGAGATACGAGTGTCTGCTTGATGTACTTGCTTCTTTTAAATTATGATTGTTAGAATATAGACATGATCTGTCATCTTTTGGCTTGTACTGTTGCTTGTACAGTTATGTCTCCCTTTTCGGGGATTCCAAAGAGAGGGAAAGAGTATCTGCCTGTCGCACGTGGTATTATAGCCACCCACAATCCACACCCCTCACTTGAAAGACAAAACCTCCATCAATCTCTGCTGACGTCAGTTGCCTATTTATAATTATAATTATTCTGACCTTAGTTATGGTGATCACCTTGGTTTTGTTTTGATTCAGTGTCTCAAGTTACATAGCAGCTCATTTGAGCGTCCGCTTCAGATGCGAGAGGTCGCGGGTTAGAACCCAAGCAGAGTCATACGAAAGACTTTACTAAATGGTACTAACAGCTGCCTTGTTTGGCGCTCAGCATTAAGAGGTTAATGTTAGGAATTGTCGGCCTGGTGTCAGGAGTGGTCCTGTCCATTGCAACAAGTCTCCTGTATATTAAGCAAGCTTGCTGTTGAAACTTGTCATCTATTTAGTTGCGTGGCCAAAAGTGGCCGAGTGGTCTAAAGCGCTGCCCGTTACGGATCACTGCCATCTCACCTCTGTCTGCGTGGGTTCGAGTCTAGGATTCGGCGAATGTGGATATGCGAGAAAGCTTGCCAGTAGCTTCTCGTGAGTTAGTGGTTTTTTTCTAGTGATTTTCCCGGTTTTTTACTCCACCATTAATACGGGCTGCCATGTATAGTGTATCGTGTACTAAAAACGGCGTTAAGCCCAACAATAACAACAACAACAACAACAACAACAACTTTATTGCATATTCTCGTATCGTCAATCATGAATGGAAATTACACGCCACTACAAAACTATCACGATTTCGTGTTATGCACATGCAGCCATTGTAACATACCCAACATGGTTAAAACACACTATCAACAAAACCTAACACACACACACACACACACACACACACACACACACACACACACACACACACTTCCTTCGATTTGGTCAGAAAGTTTGTAATTCTATCCAATGTGATTGACAGCTCTTAAAACTGCAAAATACTGCAAAATTAACATTTTCTTGTTTTCCAAGCCTTTGAATACTCAGACTTGTTTGTATAGTTGCTCTTCTTCCACTAGTGGATCTATGACTTCGACTTTTAATAAGGCCCAACATCACAGAAATATAAAAATTAAAAAACGAATATTTTATACTTCCCATCTAAACTTGACCCAGATCAGCTGGACATGACACGTCCCATCTCATCCTCCAATCCACTCAACTATCTATGATTATACTTAACTGGCAAAAATTATTATTAGTGTTCCTGCGACTGTAGTTGCTTTACAGTCAACTCTGTGCATTTTATAATTTTTTAAAAATAGAAAAGCTATAATGGGGTTGTAACCAACGATCAGTGTCACTTAGAGCCTGTATGCATTACAATATTACGAGTTAAGCAATTAAGTGACGTTGCTTGGGATATGACTTTGCTTGATTATCATTCTTTCTTGGAAATGTCTTTCTTTGATTATCATTCTTCCTTTCAGTGTAGCTTTTTTGATTATCATTCTTCCTTTGGATATGCCTTTCCTTGATTATCAGTTTTTCTTTCGATATATATTTTCTTAATTAACCATCTTACTTTCGATATGCCGCTTTCTTGATTATCATTTTTCTGTTGGATATGCATTTTTTTGAATGCCATTTTTCTATTAAATATGCATTTAATTGATTTTCTTTCTTTCTATTAATATGACTTTCTATAGTATCATTCTTCTTTTGGATAAGAGTTACCATAATTATCGTCCTTTCCTTGGATATGAGTTACCATAATTATCGTCCTTTCTTTGGATATGAGTTACCACAATTATCGTCCTTTCTTTGGATATGAGTTACCACAATTATCGTCCTTTCTTTGGATATGATTTACCACAATTATCGTCCTTTCTTTGTATATGAGTTACCACAATTATCGTCCTTTCTTTGGATATGATTTACCACAATTATCGTCCTTTCTTTGGATATGAGTTACAACAATTATCGTCCTTTCTTTGGATATGAGTTACCACAATTATCGTCCTTTCTTTGGATATGAGTTACCACAATTATCGTCCTTTTTTGGATATGAGTTACCATAGTTATCGACCTTTCTTTGGATATGATTTACCACAATTATCGTCCTTTCTTTGGATATGAGTTACCACAATTATCGTCCTTACTTTGGATATGATTTTCCACAATTATCGTCCTTTCTTTGGATAGAAGTTACCAAAATTATCGTCCTTTCTTTGGATATGAGTTACCACAATTATCGTCCTTTCTTTGGATATATGTTTTATGATTAGCATTCTTTCCTTGGATAGATCATTTCCTTAATATTTATTCTTTCTTGTTTTTGCCTTTCGTTGATTTTCATTCTTCTTTGGATATGCATTTCCTTGATTATCATTCTTTCTTTGGATATGCCTTTTTAATTATTATTTTTCCTTTCGATATTCCTTTCAATGATTATCATTTTTCTTTTTGATATGCTTTTCACAGATATAGTTCATCTGTTTGGTATGCATTTCCTTGATTATCAGTCTTTCTTTGGATATGCATTTCCTTGATTATCAGTCATTCTTTGGATATGCATTTCCTTGATTATCAGTCTTTCTTTGGATATGCATTTCCTTGATTATCAGTCTTACTATGGACATGCATTTTCTTGATTATCAGTCTTTCTTTGGATATGCATTTCCTTAATTATCAGACTTTCTTTGGATATCCATTTCCTTGATTATCAGTCTTTCTTTGCATATAAAATTCCTTGATTATCTGTCTTTCTTTGGATATCCATTTCCTTGATTATCAGTCTTTCTTTTCATATACAATTCATTGCTTATCAGTCTTTTTTTGCATATACAATTCCTTGATTATCAGTCTTTCTTTGGATATCCATTTCCTTGATTATCAGTCTTTCTTTGCATATACAATTCCTTGATTATCAATTTTTCTTTGCATATACAATTCAGTAATTATCAGTCTTTCTTTGGATATCCATTTCCTTGATTATCAGTCTTTCTTTGGATATCCATTTCCTTGATTATCAGTCATTCTTTGGATATGCATGTCCTTGATTATCAGTCTTACTATGGATATCCATTTCCTTGATTATCAGTCTTTCTTTGCATATAAAATTCCTTGATTATCTGTCTTTCTTTGGATATCCATTTCCTTGCTTATCAGTCTTTCTTTGCATATACAATTCATTGCTTATCAGTTTTTCTTTGCATATAAAATTCCTTGATTATCAGTCTTTCTTTGGATATCCATTTCCTTGATTATAAGTCTTTCTTTGCATATACAATTCCTTGATTATCTGTCTTTCTTTGGATATCCATTTCCTTGATTATCAGTCTTTCTTTTCATATACAATTCCTTGCTTATCAGTCTTTCTTTGCATATATAATTCCTTGATTATCAGTCTTTCTTTGGATATCCATTTCCTTGATTATCAGTCTTTCTTTGTATATACAATTCCATGATTATCAGTCTTTCTTTGGATATGCATTTCCTTGATTATCAGTCTTTCCTTGGATATACAATTCCTTGATTATCAGTCTTTCTTTGGATATCCATTTCCTTGATTATCAGTCATTCTTTGGATATGCATGTCCTTGATTATCAGTCTTACTATGGATATGCATTTTCTTGATTATAAGTCTTTCTTTGGATATGCATTTCCTTGATTATCAGTCTTCCGTTGGATATTAATTTCCTTGATTATCAGTCTTTCTTTGGATATGCATTTTCTTGATTATCAGTCTTTCTTTGGATATGCATTTCCTTAATTATCAGTCTTTCTTTGGATATCCATTTCCTTGATTATCAGTCTTTCTTTGCATATAAAATTCCTTGATTATCTGTCTTTCTTTGGATATCCATTTCCTTGCTTATCAGTCTTTCTTTGCATATACAATTCCTTGATTATCAGTCTTTCTTTGGATATGCATTTCCTTGATTATCAGTCTTTCCTTGGATATACAATTCCTTGATTATCAGTCTTTTTTTGGATATCCATTTCCTTGATTATCAGTCATTCTTTGGATATGCATGTCCTTGATTATCAGTCTTACTATGGATATGCATTTTCTTGATTATAAGTCTTTCTTTGGATATGCATTTCCTTGATTATCAGTCTTTCTTTGTATATACAATTCCATGATTATCAGTCTTTCTTTGGATATGCATTTCCTTGATTATCAGTCTTTCCTTGGATATACAATTTCTTGATTATCAGTCTTTCTTTGGATATCCATTTCCTTGATTATCAGTCTTTCTTTGCATATACAATTCCTTGATTATCAATTTTTCTTTGCATATACAATTCCGTAATTATCAGTCTTTCTTTGGATATCCATTTCCTTGATTATCAGTCTTTCTTTGCATATACAATTCCTTGATTATCCGTCTTTCTTTGCATATACAATTCCTTGATTATCAGTCTTTCTTTGCATATACAATTCCGTGATTATCAGTCTTTCTTTGGATATCCATTTTCTTGATTATCTGTCTTTCTTTGCATATACAATTCCTGGAGTATCAGTCTTTCTTTGGATATCCATTTCCTTGATTATCAGTCTTTCTTTGCATATACAATTCCTAGATTATCCGCCTTTTTTGGATATGCACTTCCTTGATTATCAGTCTTTCTTTGGATATCCATTTCCTTGATTATCTGTCTTTCTTTGCATATACAATTCCTTGATTATCAGTCTTTCTTTGGATATCCATTTCATTGATTATCAGTCTTTCTTTGCATATACAATTCCTTGATTATCTGTCTTTCTTTGGATATCCATTTCCTTGATTATCAGTCTTTCTTTGCATATACAATTCCTTTATTATCAGTCTTTCTTTGGATATTCATTTCCTTGATTATCAGTCTTTCTTTGGATAAACAATTCCTTGATTATCAGTCTTTCTTTGGATAAACATTTCCTTGATTATCAGTCTTTCTTTGGATATACAATTCCTTTGTTATCTGTCGTTCTTTGGATATAGAATTCCTTGATTATCAGTCTTTCTTTGGAAATGCATTTCCTTGATTATCAGTCTTTCTTTGGATAAACAATTCCTTGATTATCAGTCTTTCTTTGGATAAACATTTCCTTGATTATCAGTCTTTCTTTGGATATACAATTCCTTGGTTATCTGTCGTTCTTTGGATATACAATTCCTTGATTATCAGTCTTTCTTTGGATATGCATTTCCTTGATTATCAGTCTTTCTTTGGATATACAATTCCTTGATTATCAGTCTTTTTTTGGATATGCATTTCCTTGATTATCAGACTTACTTTGGATATGCATTTCCTTGGTTATTAGTCTTTCTTTGGATATGCATTTCCTTGATTATCAGTCTTCCGTTGGATATTAATTTCCTTGATTTTCATTCTTCCATTGGATATTAATTTTCTTGATAATCATTGTCTTTGGATATGCCCAGCAGCAAATTGAAAAGTATTAAGAATATTAAATCAGACCTTAGCAAGCTAAAAAGATAATGATAAAGTGAATTTTAAGAAGCCCGTAATATACACGAGGCGTAAAATGGAAATGTATTCAGATCGACGATTATTCGAATTAAAGATGCAACCACTATGTCACGTAGTTGAAGGAAAAATGAGAAAATTACGTGACATTGTGGCTTATTATTCCAAACTAGATTTGCTAAAGGAGATTTGACACTTGTGCCAAGTAACATCATTCCGTCACTTTATCATAGAATTTAATACTCGGTTTTCAGTAAGTGAAATAATTTCGTTTACTTTGACTTCATCCATTGTCAGGCGTTACAATTCTCAGCATCACAATTTCCAAAATAAGGTGACCTAAATAGGAATAGAAGTAAAAATACATTTCCTTTTAGATTTTTTCCAAAATAAAATCAGCACGTTTCAATCTCATCACAAGCCCAGAAATTTACAGCGAGTGTAGAGGAAAATTTTAAGTAAATAAGTCCCTCTAATGAATGAAAATCAACTTTTGATTGGTCAATGCCATTAATGGCGTCGATTTTTAAATTACTGAACCCCATTATGCAAATTTTCCAAGTGCACACAAAATATCATTTTCTTTTCCTCTCTTAACTAAAGTTTAAGACAAAGATGTCGTGAAAAAATGAGCATTTAGCTTTTACTTGCAAGACCGGTTACCAATAAAAAATCTGATATTTGCAAACTTAGCCCTTTTGGATACCAGAAAAAGCTTTTAATCTTCTAGCCATTAATCAAGGTACATATTCGAACAGTGTGACATACAGTCATTCATAGAACTCATAACCATGTTTCGGCCCACGTTTTATGTATAGAACCGTAATTTCCTTCCAATACAGCAATGAAAAACTAATGGAATTTGTTATTGGAACGTCCATGAGGGAAACACTTTACCGGTATTGTAAGAACTGTGGAACAGACCAATTCATTTTGATCCAAATAAATTATAAAATACTATAATGACTCTGGATTGTGCTTTCATATAATTGTAATTGATGGATTTTGTCCCATTCATGTTTTTGACATTCAGTAAATGTATGCAAGGTCTATTAGCATTTAACCATATGCGTACTTTAGTGGAAATCTGGACATACACTGTGTTCTCCGTAGACACAATTAGAGACGTCATTTAAGATCAAAATTAAAAATGGCTACTTTTCAATCTTTATTATATATTACCCCATCTCACAAATACAACCGCCAGATCCAACACAGCCAGCGACCCAACAGTAAGAAACCTAAATCCATTATATAAACTTGTGTTCTAAGACCGTATAAACGAAACTTTCTGGTCGAAAAATATATTTAAAAAAAGGTCGCTGCAGATCTTTTTGTACTCTTTTCCTTAAATCCCCCTCCCCCGGGGACCGCAAGGGAGGAGGCCTAGAATAATAAACCATCTCTGCTCATGAATGTCATATGAAAAATATAACGACCAGCGGCCTAAATGAGATTCGGTAACGGACATTAAAGCAGACGCAAGTACGACATAACAAGATGCAAAACAAAACAGAATGAGAAATACAAAGAAAATGGACTAATTAACTTAAGCATAGCAATAAAGTGACTCATATTTGTGGGCCTAGTTTTTTGGATTGAATGTATTTACCACTCCACCATCCATAATATGCCGAGTATTAATCGATTCGCGTGCGACTTAATATATAGATCACATTTTAAACAAGAGGCCACAGTGAGGGCGAGATCGCTCGCCTGGGTACACCTGCCCAGTGCAAGAATATTTTGACTGCATGATATGAAAGCAATAGATGCAATGTTTCTCGAGCTTTTCTATATCACCATCCACTTTAATGGGATCACTCTGGTGGCCTAGTGGTTAGAGCGTCAGCCTCTGATGCTGGGGGTCGCAGATTCGAACATGGCCGAGTCATATCAGTGACTTACAAAAATGGTACAAACATATTCTTCGTTAGGCGTTCAGCATTTAGATGTTAGCATTAGGACTGGTCGGTCTGGTGTCAGGACAATGTGTCTGAGTGGGTCATCATGCAATATGTCTGCGGCATATTCTATGTGACGACTGTTTAGAACACGTTATTAGAAGTTTTCCTATTTGAGGTAACTGCCAATTTATATATGGACAGACTGGTTTTATTTGTAACAGCATAAAAGCCCTGCATGACAGGATGCTTTCTGGCAAATTTGGTCAAATTATGTTGACTGGTTTATTATGTTGACAGGTTTTATGATAAAATCGTTCAAAGGATTTCCAATTCTTATTAAGAGAGGCCACATTTAATAACACATATGCATTAGTTGTTAAAACATAAATTCTTTTAACGTTGTAATATGTATGTCCAATTTCTTTTTGTCATAATGTTTGTTCATTTTCTTTAACGTTATAATGTGCTAGTCGAGTTTACTCAGAATCTCCTGAGTAGTGTTTAGGAAGTCGTGTAAAAGCTTAGGGTTCTTTTAGGTTCTTTTAGCTTAGGGTTCTTTTCTTAGGTACTACACAACGACGTATATATATATATATATATATATATATATATATATATATATATATATATATATATATATATATATATATATATATATATATATATATATATATATATATATATATCCAACGATTCACTTATGTAAGAAAAAATATTCTGTAATTTTGACAGTTAAGTGTTTTTAAACTTATTGGAAGACAAACAGAAAAGTTCACATCATTATTGTGAATATTATTTTAATTTTTGACGAGGTGTCCTAAAACAGGAATATATATCATTACTATTTCAATCAAACATATTACGACAGAGAAGGAGGAGAAAAGAGAAAGAGATATGTTATCCAGACTTTAAAAATATCACGACACATACTTTTATTTTATTTGAATATTTTCCTAAAGATAGTTACAAACAAAAACTCATTAAACTTAGAAAATCTCATCCATTGGAAAAATCCACCTTGTAGAATATCACAAGACTATACTGAAGACGAATGCGACTAAACAATTCTCAAAGATCAGTACATCTAAACATACTGTGATGTATTTTGCAATAAGACTAACACAACCTTTATGGGATCACCATGGTATGATTGTTCGTGCGTTAATTTTATTTATTTTTTATTTGTAAATAATCTAGGCGCGAGACACAGAACATCCTAATTCATCACGGTGTGAAGAGCTACTTAAGTCAAACTGAAATGTATTTCTACCAACATTCTTTCTGCAAAAATGGTAAAATTTTATGGAATGTATGTGAGAAGTACTTTTGTCTTTTTAAAACAATTTTCTATAAGTAGGGCCATATTTATTATTTGTAATCAACTGAAGACAACGTGAGCCTTGAACACTTCTGTCAAAACGGATTAAACTCTGTTGAGCAGTTTTGTGAAGTTTCTTGAAAGTTTTCGATTGCATTTTTAATAAACGTTGAGAAAATTTAATGATATCATTTAATCAATTTAAGAGATGCTGATGTCAGAGTGCTGCCAGAGAAATGTTCGTTGAAAATTTTATTTAATTTTAGTAAAGGCGGTATATTTGACGACGGGTCGGCATCATTTGTATAAACTTTAAAGTCATATGTGCCACAATTAAGCTTTCTATCAAATCTGGTCAAATTCTGTTGAGCGGTATTGAGAAGTCTTTTATAGGCTCATTTATTTTTAGTAACTGCAGTCATATAGGAATTCAGCTACACATCATCTGAACCAGACTGAATACTCTCTATGCCACGGTACTTTCTATTAAACTTTGGTCAACTTCTGTTTAGAACTTCGTTGAAAGTTTACTTCCCTATTTTTAGTAACGGCTGCCACATTAAACGCTGTGTTAACATCCATTGAACGAATTCGAAAGGTCTTTGCACCAGAAGGATGCATGTAGAATCAGGCGCAAATTTGGTTGTAACTAGCAAAATTGAGCGGACGACGCGAGACGGATCAAGGATCATTTAAGCTCTCTTGAATACAAGACAGTTTGAGTCTTCTATACAAATGTACAGTTTGAGAATGATCGTCGTCCAGGTAATAAAATAAAGGATAATATATATATATATATATATATATATATATATATATATATATATATATATATATATATATATATATATATATATATATATATATATATATATATATATAACAAGCAGCTTTGTACATATAACAAAATTAATTTATTTCCTTAGTAAAACAATACAAATATGAAAAAGAAAATGAATTCCATAATTGAAAACTATTAGTCATATCACTAAAATGTCCTAAATGAATCCATGTTAGAATACCAGCGAAATTCAAAGATGGCGGATATGACGTCAGATGAATGCATTAGTGATGTCACTAATTACCACGTTGAATTTTATGTATCACGAAAGAATTGTCAAAAGTTCTACGTTGAAGTATATGAATCACGATAGAATATTCCGGCTTAAAAGATCGGAATAATTTCCACTAAAGGTCTTTGTCCAAGAATTTGATGAAGAACAGCACTTGTGTATATTTACCAGAGAATTAAATATTAATTGTCAATATTAATTTTAAAGAACAGAAAACTCAAAAACAAATTCATCTAGCAAGAATCAGAACTGTCAAGGTATTATCTTACCAAACTAGAAAACATTGATTATGAGTATTAAACCTCACTAAAACGTCATTTCTACACTTATGAAAGGTCACATGATCACTTACTACACAAGCCACTTGACACATGCGCCCTGAGAGTCTAATTTGATATCCAATAATATAAAACAAAAACGTTAATGACACAAGGTGATCAGGTGCGTGATGTATGCATGACCTTGATACTGACCAATCATTATAAACTTCATGTTTCCGAGGTCAACTAAAAAAATGCTAATGAAATACTTTTAAGTTCTGTTCAAACAAGCAGTTTAGTTACATATATATATATATATATATATATATATATATATATATATATATATATATATATATATATATATATATATATATTTTTTTTTGTGAGAGAGAGAGAGAGAGAGAGAGAGAGAGAGAGAGAGAGAGAGAGAGAGAGAGAGAGAGAGAGAGAGAGAGAGAGAGAGAGAGAGAGAGAGAGAGAGAGTGTTTGTGTGAATCAAATAAAACCAAACTATTGTAATAATGAAGATTATTTGTAAAATGCTTTCTTACTATTATGAAGCCTATAATGTCAATCAACATTTACTCATTTGCCAACAAATCATTTTTTGGTGAATTTACTTGCCTTTCATTGCCAATAACATGAGTTCTTTTCGCATTAACTAATTATTTATGAACTTGCAATTGTACGCTTTTCACGAAAAGAAAACGCAATGATTTAACTAGATGAATCGTCATTGCACTATTTACAGATTCAGATGGGAATATTATAATTTACTTTCCCGATCTTTCACGTTGAAAAAGCTCATGGTTACATGACAACATAATTCGTCATTCTTCTTTATCTCGAACTCAACGTTGTCTTCAGCTTCTGGATTTTCCCATGATTCAACAGCCAAAATGTCTCCAGCTAGTGACTCTTTTTTGAAGGAGGCAGAAAGGTGCTTCAAGCCACCTGTTATCAACGGCGTAAGTGGTCTATTGTAACGTGATTCAAATACGTTTTCATACAAGGCATCAAAACAGAATCTTACATAACTTGTCCAGTTGGTATGGTTATACGTATCGGTGTCTCGAATAGTCACCTTCACATAATTTGTTACCAAACCTCTTTCAATTGGTCTAACAGTGGATAATATTGGAATTGCCTGTTTTCCTTTGCATAAATTTGCATATTTTGCTTTCCACCAATCAGGGTAGGGCACAGGTTTTCGAGTCTTAGTGTTCACAAGTACATCTTGTATTTCGCACACGAGATAAGGACGTGTTCTTTTCTGGTGAAAAAGGGAGTAAGCAATTCCCTTTGAACTCGTACCCACGTACTCCAGCTTGCTATCTACAAATAAAGGAAACTTTGGACTCTCGAATTTGTTAAACTCTGGATCAACCTTTAGAGTTGTTCCAACGATGAAGAAGGAGTTGTCACGGTAAAGGACATTGCTATCAAGCCACGCTTCATCTGGATTGGACGCGTGCGGCATTGGCCAAAATGTGAAAGCTCTGCACGATTCGAATAGGGCCAACATATTCCAGGGTTCCACGCGACACTCTGCCATACAAGAGAAATACATAAATAAATTATCAAAAATAAAAAACTGCATCACGATTACTTTGAAATTGTCGCCGTTTTAAAGGTAAAAAATCCCCTAAATCTCACTGGTTATATGACACTAGGAGAAACGTTTATTTTATGCCATTATTCTTACATATAACTTGAGAAATATGCCATCTCGCGTGCAATTAAAAAAATAGTCGTAGGGGTTGGTTCAAATAATTATTTAAAGGGTAAGGGTTTACAAGAAAAATGTGCAATAATGTAGTTATGTGTTACGCATTCAATGTGAATATAATCGCTAACTTGAGAGAGAGAGAGAGAGAGAGAGAGAGAGAGAGAGAGAGAGAGAGAGAGAGAGAGAGAGAGAGAGAGAGAGAGAGAGAGAGAGAGAGAGAGAGAGAGAGAGAGAGAGAGAGAGAGAGAGTACCTTTACTGTTAAAGGCTTCATAAGGTAGGCTAGGAATGAAGACTCGTGCGATGTGAGGAGCAATAAACTCACGTGTATAGTTCAATTGTCTAGCAATCCTGTGAAAGAAAGGCAATTTATCAAATTATTTGTTGTATTTATTTTCTAAAGAAAAGGTATTAACCAAATATGAATGGAGCAAAATACATTATGATGCTTGTAAGTGTATGCAGAAAGTCTTCTAAAAGAATCAACTACATTGGACCAACTTAGAATCAGGAACTCCCCTCATTAACATTGCTCGACTCGATCCAAATCGCACTCAGAAGTAATCAAACCAATCAAAAGACTATATTTGTACATTTCGAGTAATA